CAGAAGGCTCTTACATAAACAACATTCTTAGATTTATTCAACTTCACAGCAATACAATTAGTCATATTTGCCCAAACTATAACCTTTAATAACGTCTCTCTGTGCAGATACCGCTACTGACATGCCTCTATTAAAGGTTGTAGTAAGGACTGAAGCAAGTCATCTTTGTTATTCTTGCATTTTTGTGACAACTTTTAGTTCATGGTTTGTGTCTCAGTGACGATGTGTATTGTCCCTAGCGATAGGGGGCAGTATATACCTAAATCATTATAAGTAAGCTGTATTTTTGTGCTCGAGCAAGAACTTACCAACAGATGGCCATTAGGGTCAAAAATCCCTAGGTGCGTAATTTTTGAACCAGTACCTCGTCAGATCGTTCAATCTCTAGAAAAATAACAATCACACGACAATCCCTTTCATCACTGGCAACGAGCGTAGAGGTAAATGTGTAAAACAACATTTATTAATAGCAAAAGTTTTCTCACCACGCATTACAGATAGTTAAATGCATTTTGTCCTCATGAGCTCCCGTGGACAACGGTACCCCCCCCCCCCCCCCCCCCCCCCCAGGAAAAGCCAGTGTTAACAAATCATCTTAATGTTCAGTCAAACCATACACTGATCTTGTTTATTTAAGACATCATTGTAAAGCAAAATAAAAATATTACAATTAATGAGTAAAGAAATAATCTGAATAAAAAATACATATGTTTCTGCTGCTCACCATGTGAAAAAAGATTTTGTCTCCATATGTTTATTTATTTATTTATTTTGTGAACACAACAACACAGGTGAATAAACCTAAAAAAATAAAATGTAAATGAAATTTGGGGTAACATTTGAAATAACTGAAATGTATTTTTATAAAATGTTTACATTTGTAAAATTTACGTTAAATGTTTTGGATACGTACTGTTATTTTAATAAAAATGAATAAAGGTGCAATGCAGTACATCGCCACAGGCTAAATTCCCCCACTTACCACAAGAACCAATTTGGTGTGCCACCCCAAAAATTTCTTAGGCCCCATTTGGCCACCCATATCAAAATTTTCTGGAGGCGACCCTGCCCGTAAAAGGAAACATGGCATCACCCAGAGACTCACACCCACTCCCATGCCAATATTTATCAACAACTGGGCATCATTTAATTCATTTTCAACATTCTGATGGATATTTCCAGAGATTAACAATAAAAACTACACATTGTCCCTTTAAGCGTAGATTGTCACAAAAGTAAGTCCCAAATTACTATTTGGATTTACAATAATTAGGAAGAACACACACACACACACACACACACACACACACACACACACACACACACACACACACTTAACCCATTTAAGAGCCTATTTGTGGAATAAAAGGCAGAATAAAAATACAAAAATAAGCTAGCAGCTTAATATTCACACTTCTCAGTGACAAGTAAAGGTCAGTTCATGGAAACATCAGAAAGATGTCCCATATGCAAATGCAGATATCAGCATACCACAACATGCTATTTATTTACCCTTTTGGTATTACCGCAGCTTAGAGCCAGACAAGAAAAAGACAGGCAAGGGGGACTGGTACACATGCTGCACAAAGGATCATCCAAACAAAGGCAAATACACTTACACAGTGAGCTGTAATCCCACCCAGGCTAATGCTACATCCAACACTTATTATTAAACACCATCTGCACACTTCCCTCATCCCATCATTACAGCTATCCCTCTTTCCTGTGATGAAAAATAAAAGTCAAGCGTAGATGTGATCTAGCAACTTAAGCGTGCCTGTCCCACTAAAGCTCCTCATTAGATTCCTCTTTCCCTCCACCTTCGTCTACTTTATCCCCTCCTCCTCCTCCTCCCAGCTTTTCCAAATTAGCCTTGATTAATGTGTACGCCACGCAATGGGCGGTCCTAATTAAATAACACCATCTAATTAGGGACTGATTTTGGCTGGTAATGGTACCAGAAGATGGTGGAATGGGATTCCACATTCATGAAGCCCGTCAAACTCCCTAGGCGGTCACACTCCTGTGGTTTCACACAAACAGCCCCTCTCCTAATCTGACAGTTACATTAAAATGCAAATAACCCAGATGTGAGGGTTTGGTAACAAGTGGTGGGTTACAGTTCCCATGATTATGACATGAAGCAGGTAACAGGTAGATAGCTGTTGACCCAGTAGTGGCTGTCTAAATATTAGCTCTGAGATCATACAGGCTGGAAACCTCCTTGTGCCCACTGATTATTGTCCCGATGAATCCGTTTTATACATCACTAAACAGGAATAAATTCTTGTTGTTTCTTATCGGTGACTGTTTGCTGCCCCGGTGGCAGCGTGGTTTATCTTCTTTTCTGCTTGTGGATGTATCACCAGTTTTAATTAAATCACCCCGAGACCAAATGAAAGGTCAGAGAAAATTAAAGCATATTAATGAGCGCAGGGTGCAAGCAGCATGACAGTGGGGTGGGGGGGGTGGGGGGGTGGGGGGCAGTCTCCCCACACAAACACGTCCCCACAAACTTGACAGCGGTTTGAGATGAGAACATCATGAGAGAGAGAGAGAGAGAGAGAGAGAGAGAGAGAGAGAGAGAGAGAGAGAGAGAGAGACCAGCAGATTGTCCCCCTGCAGTGCACCATCATGGCTTGATGTCAAAGCTGGTAAATCGGAGCCAAAATGTCAAGCCTTTCAACTCTTGGTGACAAAAATAAATAAATAAATAAATAAATAAATAAATAAATAAATAAATAGATCAGATATCGCAGCCAGTAGTATAGGCCCAAATGAGACGGAGGGAGAGCGTCCCTACAGAGGGACAGCTGCAGCAACAAAGGGACATTGTACTTTTTTTCTGGCCTGTGACAAAACTACAGCAGCTTTGCTGCGGGGTGAGGGAGCGGCTGGAGGGGTGAGGAGGGCGATGCAAATGGCATTTGGACATAGATCAAAAGAATTACATTTCACTGCATCATCAGGGCTGGAGCAGCTACCCCCCACCCCACCACACGCCCCTCTCCTTCTCAGCCTCCATCACCTTTTAGCTAACTCTGCTGCTTTCATGCTACTGCATCCCTGGGCCAGTTTTCTGAGGGGGTGTCCTGGCAGAGTGTGGACATTGCTCTTACATGTCGGCCTTGAACAGAGATGTAAGCACTAATGGTTTTTGGCAGAGTCCACGTCCTCAGTGGACACTGTTGGAGCAGAAAGACAGAAAATCTGTAAAGAAGGGCGAGATGGGCGTGAGCCTGTGCAGAGATAGACCTTTGGTGGTTGGTTAGTCCGCTTTACAACAGCGCCATCTGTCTCTGCAGCCACGACTTTACAGCATCGGAGTTGCAGCTGTAGAGAAAAACAGTTTTATGATAAAACCTAACCTTCAGCAGGAATCTTGCTAGTGTCACAAAGTTTTGAAATGCCTGTGCGAGATAATTAATGAGCATGATGACGACAGTTTTTTTAATTAACAGATCTTTGTTATGTAATTTAGTCTCTGCCAGCTTTAAATATTCATTTCAAGATAGTACTGCCTTAAATTTGGTAAAGAACGATGCCCCTGTCGATGTGAAACTTTACTCAAAGTGTTGCTTCACCATCTTCGTGCAAATCTTCTCCCTGAAAGCCATAGTCATCTGGGTTTTTGACAAACCCCAAATTCCCTATAACAGCCTTCTTCTTCCGTTCAGACAAGGAAAAGGGGTTCCACAGGTTCACCTCCTTCTGCCACGAGGAGGAGAGGGAGTATTTATCTGTGCAGCACAGGAGTAGAGTTCCTTCATGTTGAAGAGGCGTTAAAATCACAGCAATAAAGTCGGGTTTTGACATTTTTAACCAGTGACCTGGAGACCAGTACCCAGCACGTGCTTTTTAAATGATTCAATAAGCTGTTTTATTTAATAAGAATGCTGAATGTGACGCAGACATAACGTGAATGCGTGACTAACAGATCAGACAGAAGACTATAACTGATATAAGATGTCCCTCAAAGTGTCAGAGTAAATATATGTTTTATTGTTATTTTCATCCATATGCCATTAAATAAAGCACTCCTGAAAGAAAATGCGCTCGCGGTCTTAAACGGCCCATTTTCTTGACATCTCAGAGCTGAAATGGGAAACAGGATCAAGATAAAAAGGGATCCTTTCTCCAACAGAAGCACTAAGTGCAACTGCAAATGTAAGTTTTCCCAGAGCGAGCAACATCCATCCTGTTATTTATTATTTTCTTGGCCAACTAAGATGGATGCTGGCGTCATCGTGTTGGTCAGAGCGACAGATGGGCTGATTATACAAACTCATGCCTTCGGTCTTAGAGGAGTACAAAATCCTTGCCTGTAAGGTAACAGCCCTCATCTGCCTGTACCTTATGGATGCTTGAAGCTTCTTGTTAATATGTGAAAGGCAGCATGGTATAGATGGATCCCATTAGAGGCCTGATGGGATTTTTTTCTCCTGACAGCTTGCAAGTAAAGTAACATCTGCCACGATGCATTTTTTTTTCTGCAACCCAAAGGAAACTGAATAATCTCTCTATGACCTCCTGATTGTGAGCTTCAAGGGCATGTTTTCCTTCAATGGACACTCTGCAGATGCATAAACGGATTCCTGTCACGGCCTTGAAACGTGGGTGTCAAGCTCTGCCGTGCACACGGTACTTTCAGCGGGTGAGATGCAGCAGCAGAAAGGTAAGAAAGCAAAGGGCCTAGACTTAGAGACACGGTGCCAACATTTTGGTTTTTGGCCAAAGGGGTGTCAGGAAATAAGCTGTGATCATTGGACAATAAGTGCCGGTGCTGAAGGTGATCTTTCAGGATTAACCATCGTCCCGCTCGCCAGCGCCGGCTTGTGATTTAAAGTCTGGGCTGATTAATCAGACTGGGTATCGAGTCTCTGTTCAGGCGAGGCATTAAAATCAATCACAGCAGCCAAAAGGAAGGGAACAGAGGCTCTAACAAACGGAAGGGACAACAGAGCGAAGGAGGAAAAAGAGAGAAGGATCAAACGTCTTACTCCATGCTTCCGGCCATCAGCAGGAAAAGGTTGTAGATGTGCGAAAAGATGAAGAGGAAGAGGATGGTGCTGAAGAACATGGTCATCCAAGAGCCGTGGTCCTCGCGGAACATCTTGAGTCGCAGGTATCGACCTAAAAGGAAGGAGGACAAGGGCACCGCCATAAGTGGCTGTTCAGACAGCATGACGGCCTTCTGTCAGCTAGTTTTAAGAAATGCAGCTGAAAGTAAATAAATCAGTCAAAGGAATCAATATTTTCCTATTCTGTCTGACGTGTGCCCTTTGGGTGGAAAATTAAGATTAAAAAATACAATTAGAAGTTTCATCTCTTGAAAACTCAATTGGTTTTCATTTCCAGAGAAACTGTTGCTTTAAAAAAACACATAATAGCATTTGTTCTTTTACGCTTTATCCCTTATGGAGAAACATCTCTGACACAACACTGGACCCTCAACCTTTTGCATTGAAAATGCAATCAAGCCCAACAGATCACATAAACACAACAGGGCTTATTGGACCACTCGTAAACTGGGTCTTACGTTGGTGGCAGACTGACGAATGTACAACTTCACACTTTTATTTTTTAATCTAGCCAGATTGGGATGAAAGAATAACTCACTCAGAAACCTGGGAAATACCACATGCAGATGTAATTAGACATAAATAATGTAATTGCACAACAGCTGCCATGTCCTTGATATGCTTCCCACACTGCTCATGGGATAGAAGCAAGCTACACTGCACAGTTGGGGTTTCTGTTCCCACCAACTATCCGGCTAGGATCAAACAGAATTCAGAAAAAATAGAATTACATGCCTTTGAAATGACATTTTTAAACTTCACATCAGAGAACCTGGCTTTACTGACCAATCCTGATAGATTTAGTTTTCAAGTTTCTAGTAAAGATACAAAATATTCTCAGTGGGGACAGTTTTAATGTGTACTGGGGTCTCTTAGCAAGTGACATAGTGTTAGAGGAAAACACAAGTTTTATATTCTGCAACAGTTTATTACATAAATTATTTCATTGAATGTAGCACATAAGGCTGGGCGATGTGGCCCTAACATCAATATCACAATATATTGAGGATTTCACCTTGGTAACGATAAATGAACAATAACTACACGTAAGGGCAGAAACAAACGTTGTCCACTAGATGGCGCTGTCACGTGACTCAAGGTGGTACAGCTTCTTAAAGGGCGTGAATGTCGCCAAGCTACACATATTTTCTTTTTTTTATGATCGAATTTGTTGACCTGAGAAAAACGACATTGTAAGAGTCAGAAAATTCAATAACAATAATTTTCCGATTTATTTCCCAGCCCTAGTAACACATAGGATGTGTTCAGGAGTTCTGTTAATACGGAGGACAGCATGGGAAAAAGAATATCAGCTACTTTCCCAACGTCAAGCATCATCATTCCCATCTGGTTCACAGTTTATTCAAAGTCAGGATGCAAAAGTAACAAATCCACGAGAGAAACCACACATTCCAACTTTTTTCTGGGGGATCCCAGGGCATTCTGAGGTCTAATCGGAAAGACAGACCCATTTAGGTCAGCTCTTTCTTTTTTAGAATATGAAATCATATTTGGCTTCATCAAAGTGCATGAAGACTATTGTGACTCAGATTGTAATTCATTGCACAGCTTGAAGACTGTCTCACATTGGTCACACCAACTACCTCGTAGATTGACCTTGGACACGCTCATTTTGATTCACCCAACTGAGTCACCAACAGAAAGCCAGGCGATGGGAATGGATAATGGTTCTGAGCAAATACCAGTTTTTCGTGGTGACGATAGAACAAGTCAGATCAGATGTGTTATAAATAAGTCAGTTCCTAATAAAAACAAGCCCAATCCTTGTAAATTTCTCAAAAACACTTTCTGAGCTCCTTCCAGGGCAATGGGAATCGTTAAAAACCAGTCAAGCTGAGAATGAATGCTAAAACTGATCAAGTGCCACGTAACTTCAACACCAATCGAGTCCAAATTTTAAAATAGTTGATGGTTTCCAAAGTCCTGCTCTAATGTGGTGAACTGTAATTAGGAAATCCTCCATGACAGCTAGTCTCGCTAACAGCTCTGTTTCTGTTCCTTGTATCTACACACACACACACACACACACACACACACACACACACTTCATCTCTGCCAGCTGTGATCCACTGCCAGGAGCCTCCTTTTCCCTTTGTTTTCTTCTCCTACAGCTCAGTCAGCATTCCCGTCCCTAACAGCTCCTTGGACAACTCATTGTGTTCGTGTCCACTTGCATGTTCCAAAGACAGCAAAGCCGAATGCTCCATTTATTTTCCCATTAAAGCCTGGCTGGTTTACTGTCCAATAGCCTTACGTGCTGTTCAGGCTCTGCTGGCTCCAAGTATTTTTCTACTCCACTTAAGTGCACTTTTATTGAATTAGACTCTTACTTAAAGTGCAAATGTTAAACAATTGGAAAATTGATCAGCAATTAAGTTATATATTTTGGGGCCTATTTGGACAATATCTCACCTCAAAAACTTAAAAAACAAAGTTTGAAGCAACCCACATTTCTTGCTCTGTGATATTTTAGGACACATCATGGTTGCATAATTGAGCCGACTTGCATGAGTGAACTTAATTGCCTTCCAGCGCCAACGAGCGCCTGGCTTGGACGTAGGTGTGCAGTGTGTATCGGCAGATCTGACCCTCCATCAAATATGGCCCTGCACTCAAAAGCATATGTGGCCAGGCCGTTTGAGTCACTGCCCCCCCCCCCCCCCCCCCCACACACACACACACACACACACAGGAGTGCACACTGATAAGGGATGATTCATGAGTACAGCCCTACAGCCCACTGCGAGGCTCAACCCAGCTACTACAAGACAAATGGACTACAGATACACACAAAAGGCACAAAGAAAGACACACTTAGTATAGAGATCTGACTGTGACTCTAAAAACATACTGATAAAAAATAGAAACAATGTAGTTTTTATGATTATATGCATTTACATTTGATATAAATGAAAGGTAATGTTCTCTAAAATAACTGGATGAGGTCATTTCAACATTTCCACAAATAGGTGCGGTGCAGCTTTGTTTCCATCTGCTGGTGATTCTAGGAAGTTGCACGCGTCTGGAACCTACACCATATCTACAGAAATTACACTATTTTTCTTTGGATGTGTATTTTTACACTAAACATCTGCATAATAAATACTTTAAATTAACTTTATTTGGGTGTCTGACTTTGCCACTGAGCAATGCACAAAGGTAAGATTTAACAGCTTCAGAATTTGTTGTGCATCAAGAAATGTTGTTAGTGACATTTTTGGCATGAAAATAAGGTGGAAAATATCTAGATATCGGCCATGAAAGTCTGCAGTACATAACGGCCACTGGCTGACCATGTCTCCTAACAGCATCGGTATCAGCAATAGAGAAGCCAATATCGGTCAACCTCTACCTGCTGCGTGCATTTGTTCCAGCTACCAGGTTTCCAATCCACAAACCACTCAAATTAGATTGACTGGTGATTCTAAATCGGCTCAGACTAAGTGTGTTTGTCTGATTTACAATGAGATTCTGAAATGTACTTCAGGTATAAAACCACCTGAGTCATGGTAGAGCTTCACTAACAGGTGAAGCAAACAGTTGAAACTTTAACACTGAAAAAAATAGACCGTCAGTTTAAAGATGTGCATTAACACACGTGGACAAGCAATTACCCAACATGTTTAAACTGTTGATTAGCTTAATCCCTTGTTGATGCCACACACACACACACACACACACACACACACACACACACACACACACACACACACACACGCGTGCACACACACACACACACACACACACACACACACACACACACACACACACACACACACTGCAGTCTCACAGCTAAAGCAGGCAGTAGACCAACAACACACTAATGAGAAGCTGACAGCTGATGCTGAAGGACAAAAGGCGAATATGAGATGTGATCTGGACCATCATGAGTGTGTTTCTCATCAGGAACACAACGGACACGGCTAAAAGAGGTGGGTTAAATGAATCTGAATAAACTTTTGATTAATCACAAATGACCATTTTTAAATTTTACTGAGATGAACAGAATTTAACTCACTTATTTGAATTATTTAAATTGGCTGCAATATAAAATTATCTGGCTGTCCTCAGCAGAATGTACCGTGCATCCTTCTTTGTACAAACTGGTTAGCAAATATTAAACACAATCAGAAACACAACAGAAAAGCTTTTCTCGTAACCGCTGATCAGATCGGGACGGTTGTTAAAACCCACTGAAGTGAAATAAATTAATGTGTTATTATCTCTAATTATAGGAAAACAGTAGCTGACATGTTGGAGTCAACAAACCAGCAGTCCCGCAGGTTTTGCTGTTTGCAGACTCAACATGCTGGTGAAGCCCTGAGACTATGGAGACAGTACAGGGAAGGAAGCTGAGAGTCAGTGGATGAACACACACCTCCTGGACCAAAATAACATCTGAGCCAATAAGACAGATCAGCATTTATCTGGAAGTAATTAAACTGTTAAATAAACAAAAATGTTCCATACAGTCAAAGAATTCCCTAGAAGGTACTTCTGGCAAAATAAAATACAATTTAATGAAACAGCTTCTTCTGAATTGAGGTTAAATTGTGCTTTTTAGCAGGCAAAGTGAAATCATGATTTGATTTAACATGAAATAAATATGAAAATGTTACTGACGTAAGAAACACACGAAACAAAAATATGTTATGACTGAATATTCTGACTGATCTCTGGTAATGTCTGGGTCAAAGCAGGCTGATTCACTCAGTGTCTACCCATGAATAACTATGACTAACACCCTGCAGAGGTTTTGGTGCAGTTCATTACAGAGCAACGTGGAGCAATTCATATGGAGGCTTCAGATGAAGAACAAATGTATAGGATGACTCCCTATCCCCGTCCGACAGTAAATCATCAGGATTGTTGGATATAGAGTGAATTTGAAATTGATGCCCTTCTTTATGAATTTGTTGGATAAATTATTCTTCTTAAATAGACACAAAAATGAAAATAATTTGATTTAAAATTGGTAACAGCTGCTAGTTCCAAGCCTTGAGATCCAGGAGGTTTAAAATGTTTCTACTA